TCATTATTATTATTAATATTTTTGTTTTTTTTTTTTTTATCAAGTAGAAAAACGACTACAAACTAATGACTTACAATTAATTATTACAAATTTACCAATTTCTTAATTAATTATTACTTGTTAATTTTTGTTCACTTTCCTCGCTCTCTGTCTCTTTCTCACTTACTTTTTTTTATGTACATTGCTTTTCTTTTACAGAAGTAGTTTTCCTTCTACCAAGGGATTAATTAATTAATTTTTTTTTTTCTTTCAAAAATTTTAAATCGAGAAAAGTAGAAAATTTTAGACCGCGTTTTTTTTTACTTTAGGCCTCTGCGTTCATCAATCTTCGTTCTAAAAAAACCATTATTATTATTATTATTCTTGTGAGTTGCCTTAATAAGCGCTCTATATATTAAATTAGACAACTGCTACAAACGTTCGCTATCTTTGTAGTCGGTCGATGTGTGATCAGTATATTCGATTCCTACTTTACTTCTATTATGTAATATATAGATATAGATTATGCATTTATACAAGACACGCGAGAAATCAAGCGAAAGCTAAGATTTAAGGAAATAGGCGGCGTTTTATTTTATTCATTAATTCTGCGTTATGATTATTATGGGATTATTAATTTCTTAGGAATTATGTTACCTTCAACAATCGCTTATATTTATTTCTCATCACTATATATAAAATTTGCAAAAGTAACGAACGGTTTATTTTATTTTATTATTATTATTATTACTTTCTTTTTTTTGTCTTAGTTTTTATTTTCATTTAAATCTTTTGTACTTGAAGCAATTTTACCTAGAGATTTTTCCACCACGCTCATCAGGATGCTGAGTTAGTTAGTACTTTGTACGTTCTGTTTCTGGAAGGCTCCGGGTTGCGCAGGATGAAGAAGGTTTCTCTTGCATTTTTTTAAATTTATATATTACTTTTTTTTTCAATTTCTCCCTTTTCAACTCATCTCATTCATTTTGTTTTTCTTTTTATATATATATATATTTCTTAATTTAACTTTGTGTAGGGGGCTGTGCTCAATAAGACCGACCATCCTCGAACCCGTCACGTGAAACCGGCTGCAGCACGAAATGTTGTATCCTCACCAATCGCACCAGGAGAAACGGTTTCGCCTGGTTGTAAAACAAAAAAAAAACCGTTTCAAACCCGCTCATTCATCAACATCTCCTTTCACGCCCAGCGACGTCTCTTGTCGCTTCTTCAGTTAAACTTCTTCGCTTCATAGACGTCGCTTTCACACCTATATCACTAATTATTGGGACACAGCAACTCACCTATCTTATAATAATATATCTTTAAATATATTCGCTTTCTCCTCCATCAAATATCATCATCTCATCATCAATTATATAATATAATATATATAGAGTTCAATTATCATATATATACTTTTATATACTTTTTTTTTTTGTTAGGTTTTTAAAAATTATTAGTTTAAGATTTTTTTTTTCTTCATTTTTCTTTTCTTTAAGCGATCGTATCAACAATACCAACGTGCATTTACATAAAAGTATCCAAAACGAATCTACCGCGTTTTTCGTAACCGTAAGATATCTATATATACTAATTTTTATATATATATAAAATGTGTACGTGTGTATCATATTTGTAATTTTTCGTGTAAGTAAATGTGTATCATTTGAGAAACTAAAAGTAAATAAACATAATTTATATATATATTAAAATTATATAAAAAAAAAATAATAATAATAAGAACTAAAATTGTCACCTAGGTAAGAGAGAAAAACTTTTTTGGAAGAAGCTGCGAAGACTTCTTCATTTCTCCCTTCTTATCACTCTCACTCTCTCTCTCTCTCTCGCGTTCGGTCAGCAACGGGGGAGACGAATGCGTGTAAATGTACGTAAATATATATAATATATAAATTGACTATGAACTAACAAACATAATTAATTAATCAATCAATTAATTAATCGATAAAAAAAGAGAACTAAGAAACGTAACGTAATTACTATTATTATTGTTTACTTAAAAATGGAAAAAAAAAATTATATAGAAGAACGAAGAGAATAAACGAAAGGTTAAAATATGTACCTAAAACGCGTCCAACAAACGAAATGCACGTTTAAACGAAAACAAATATTTTGTCGAATTTGTTTCATTCTCTGTGGACGCGCTCGAAACATAAATGCTTTTACAAATCATTATTATTGTTTGATGCTTTGCATCAAACAATTTAACAAAGTGAAACTAGTGTTTTTAGTGTGTGTGTGTAGTGTATTGTGTGTTTTTTTTGTTGTTTTAAGACGCTTCAAAAGATTTGCTTCTCTTTTGTACGCGCGCGTTATTACAGCTAATTCTAATATTAATAATAATGATCCTCGCGATGGATGATCTAATAATAATTATTTCTTTTTACAAATGCTTTTTTCCTTGTTGTTTTTTTTGTGTGTGTGTATTTTTCTATTTGTAGCTGTTCTTGTTGTTTGTTTGTTTGTTTGTATCCTTGCTAAATGGCTAAATGTAGTTGTTGTTGTTGTTGTGGTCTACCGTTCGCGCGTTAGCTGAAGACGGCAGAACTCGTCGAGCCGAAGGCCGGCCAACTCGCGCCACAGCAACCCCAGGTCCAAGTCGAGGAGGTCCGGCGGTGGCGAGGGTGGCGCTTTCGCGGGGGCCGCGGGCTATGGCCACAACTGCAGATTGCGCGTCGTGGTGCGCGTGTAGCAGTAGTGCAGAGGTTTAACGAAGTGCGTGTCTAGCGTGCGGCAATGCGGACAAGGCACCATGTGGCTGTAGTCGCTGAAGAAGTTGAGGCGTTGAGCCGGATGCAGCACGGGCTTGAAGCAGGCGTTGCACTGCAACAAATTAATAAACAATGATCAGTAAGGATGAATATTGATTGAAGATGCGATTGATTGAGAAATTAAGACTGCGCATACCTTAATTCGTTCAGTGCAGCAGGGCATTGCGGCGAAGATGTCGTAAGAGTACATGGTACCCAAGACCAAGGAAGATCCATCCCATTGCTTGTTGCAAACGCGACAGCAGATGGCGCGACCTGGGGCTCCCTCCAAGCAGCCCATGCAAACGACCGTCAAGAATTGGGTTCTGCCCTCGACCTTAACCTGCACGTCAAAGAAGAAAATATTAATAATAAAAAAATCCTCTCTTGCAACAATTCTTTGGACTTACCTCGATGCAACTCTTGGCGTGCTGCCTGGGGCTCAAGAAGAAGGTTCCATCGACTAGCGGATACCTGTCGAAGACGAGAAGCTGTTCCTCGCACAGCACGCAGTGCACTCTAGATCTTCCCTGCGATGCCAACGTGGAAAGGATGAAGCATCTCGTCTCGTCGTTTCCGTGGTTGCCTTCGTCCTCCGTCTGCAAAAAGGAAAACGAAAATCAGCAAACTGTGTGAACCCGCAATATCCGGGTTTTGTTGGGTTTGGATTCGGTTTCGGTTTCGGTCGCATATTTGCAGCAAAACCGGACGCAATAAGGTGGTGGCGGATGGATGAAAACCTTAAGGGATTTCAATTAAAACAAACATCAAACTCGGAAGATCGAAGGGGGAGAGAGAAAGATGGGGGGATGATCTCAGCTCTCTGGAGAGTTTGTGACCCAATAAATAAGTGTACCGGCGTGGTTCAGTGCAAATATTTGCGCTCAACATTATTAGACAGGTTTTTCTTTTCTTTTTTAAACTCTGCAAGGAGCAGAAGGATATAAATAAACAAATAAAAGAGGACGCAATCTGAGAATGACAGAAACGGATCGGAGAATCTCCGAATTGAAATCGAAATGCATGGAAGAAAAAAAAAAGGAGGAACGCTTTAACAAATCAGCGAACACGCGATTACCACATTCGTTCCCATTTCGAATTCCCGATATTCCTTTTTATCATTTGTCTATACAGAAAGATAGAAAGAGAGAAAAAGAGAGAGAGAATGCACATATTCACCAATCCGTGGAGAAATAAATTGAAATCTTAATTTGAAATCTGGAACATCTCCAACTCGCAGACGCTCTTTGACAACCGAAAATTAATTGACTTTCTATATAAATCCGAAATATCCGCTCGAATCCAAAACTGTTATTACTCATTTCACCCCCTGCTCATTCTCAATGGTAATAATCTTTCATCGTAAGCCCAAAAGAAACCTTATTTTTATGTACACACCGATTTTAATCAGCGTGCGAATTCATAGAAAAGCTTTGTTGAATCAAAGATCATCCCTTGATTAACCTAGTCTTATAATGATAATCATCAGAAACCTTAAGAAAAACAATAACTTTTATTAAATACGAAATTGATAAGTATTTTAAGGGTAGTAAAACTATTTGAATATCAAATGGATTTTGTGATTTCGCTTTACGTTTTGAAGCTATTTGCAATGAAAGAGGCGGAACGCAACCATTGAAGGGATTTACGTTTTTTTTCTTTTCTTATCTTTCTCTTCTATTTGTTCATCTCCTTATTCTGGTGCTGCTTTTCAGAAATCCTAAGTGTGCGCAATCACAATTTTATGGAGATAGTCGAGTGAAAAGTAATAGTGGCGCAACCCTCTCCAAGAAAAAAAAAGGAAGAAAAACATAGATTGGAACGATGGAAATAAAATGAAAATAGAAGCTGAAAACGGCGGCAGTTGGCAGAGGGATGATAATTGCGGAGCAGACACACGCGAGAAGGGAAGTATAAATTGCGGAATAACCAGTTCGAATGTACCAATATTGTCTGCAATAATCGTCGTCATCAATGTTGGGGATGGGGGTGAGTTTTAGACCCATTGTTTCGGATCCACGAACGAAGCAAATACTCTCCACGCTGTACACATATATACCGAAAACTCCTCTTTTCGTTTTTGAAAAGGGGATGGTTTGGGGAGGAAACAGTCGCCGCCGTCGCCGTCGCATCCCTATTTTACAGCAAGCTAATAAAACACAAAGGTTCTCTCTCTGTCTGTCTCATTTTCTTTTTTTATTTGAGGCGGAGAGAAACACACGACGAAGAGAGAGAGGGGTGAAAAAAAATTGACGGAACTTTAATATCGCGAAATGAAATTACGCTTGCGTGGACACGCCATTAAAAAAGAATCCTATCAGCGCCGGGGGGCTAAATAGATAGAAAGAGAGTAAATAATAATATGGGAGAGATTTTTGTGCCCTGACTCTCTCTTTTTATGCTCTTTAAGGGTTGGAAGTCGAGCAAAGAAAACTTCCGCTAAAAAATAAGAATCGGAAATAATTGTCAAAACTCTGCCCCATTAAGAAAGTTTATTTCGCTTCATTACTGGTTTCCTTCGTCGCAACGAAAATCTAATCCTATTTTTGATTATATATATATATTTTCTCTTTCTACCCAGGAAATTAATTGGAAATATCCGGAGCGCAACAAAAAAAAATTAGAGATGAGAGAAGAATAATACCTTCGTCGTTGTAATTAATTTCGTAATTTATAAGTAGGCGCTGAAATCCGCTTAAAAATTAGGGCTGGCGTAAAATTGGAGATACTTAATCTCCGTGTTGCGAATTATATTTAAGGATGAGAAGAGAGGATGAACAAAAAAAAAAATAGAAAGTTGGGGGATTCGGAAAATGAGTGTGAAACGGATCTAATCTTAATTCCGAGGTGCTGACTTGTGAGCGGGTGGATTACCCTTAAGCCGCTTAAAAATTTCGCACAACCCCTGCGCCGAAAAGAAAGGAAATAAAACAAAACTCGGAGGAGGAAACACAAATGAAATAACAATTTTCCTCTACGTTTTTTTCTGTTGCTGTACGAACTTATGGGATTAAAGATGAAGTCTGTGTATGTTTGGGGGGATGTCTGCAGACGAGACCGTTGTTTGCATTCAATAACCCTAATACGTTGATGTATTGTTATAGAAGAGGAAGGACGATCGTGTCGTGTCTGGACAAAAGTTTGCTGGAATAAATCGAAGGTTGGTCGGTCTCTCCTCTCTGCTATCAGATTAGAATAATACGTAAAACCAACTCGCACGTTTTCCTGCAGCATAATCCTGCGGGGTTACGGGTTGACCGGGCAAAAATCCTTTAATATATATTTATTTCATAGGATTACGTTATTTCTATTAGATTACATGCATCGGCGATTCTGGGAAGAAGGAATTCATAAATAAATACTCTCTGACGACGGAAGAGGAGGAGGAGAAAAAAATTGGAGTTGATCCCGTTAAAATCGGCTCTACTTCAGGCATTAAGTATAGATACTAGGCGCACTTAAAGCGAGCCATTAGGATGGATTACGAATTCATTGCTGAATTTGCACTCTCGTCGTTCGGATCGACTTATATTCCTGCTGCTACCACCACTTTTCTTCTTTTTCTTCTTCCAACGCCTCCTCTGCAAATCTGAAACCATTCTCGTGGTTCATTCTCCGCCCGACAAAATACACCTTGTTCTTATATCACATTAGAAACATTGCTGGACATGGTCAAAACGACTATTGATTTTTCATCAATAGGTTTTTTTTTTTGGTAATTTGTAATCGTATTTTTTTTTAAATTAATTGGAAAGTAAATTATAAATCAATGTTCAAAGACAATTTAGCATTAAAACAAGATATTGAACTTAAAATATCAAAAAATCTTCAGATTTTGTAAACAGTAAATGTAAAACGTTTTTTCCTGGAAACTTCAATTGCGTAAACAGTTAAGAATTCTTATATCACATTAGAAACATTACTGCTATATGCTAGACATGGTCAAAACTAATATTAATTTTTCATCAATAGTTTTTTTTTTTTTTGGTAATTTGTAATCGTATTTTTTTTAAATTAATTGGAAAATAAATTATAAATCAATGTTCAAAGACAATTTAGTATTAAAACAAGATATTAAACTTAAAATATCAAAAAATCTTCAGATTTTGTAAACAGTAAATGTAAAACGTTTTTTTTCCTGGAAACTTCAATTGCGTAAACAGTTAAGAAAAAGTGAATTGAATTGCGAAAAAAAAAAACCTGCCAATTCATTAAAACGATTTTGCTGCAGTAGTTTTGTCACAGATGGTGGTGGCTTTTCGCATCCGCACGTTTCTCCATTTTGGGCATTTACCGTAAAAGCTCAAACAATTTTGTTTCTTTCTTCAATTGTTCGTGTATATGAATGGTGGTGGCTCGATTCTGTAGAAAATGGAAGTACGTGAAATTGTTTAAGAGAGAAGAGAGAGAACATTGATTCCTGAACATATCATCTTTTTTATTTTTTGTACTGCAGTATTTTACTCTTTTACTTCCACTCTTCTTTATTTCTATTTTTTTTTCAGTGTGTGTACGTGGGGGCGGCTGCCGGAGCTATTGAAAGTGCGCTCACGTTAATGTAATAAATAAATAGAGAACGTTGAATTTGAGTTTGGAGCCGAGTGGCGGCGGGTATATACAAAAGAGGGTCGTTTCCTCCTCTCTCGATGAGACAGCGAGGGAGGAGGAAGAGAAGAGATGCGAGTTAAATGGAGAGCGAGAGAGATGGAGAGAGAAGAGACGACTCGGATCCATTATTTGCGTTACATATTTGCCGTCTGGCGGGGGCGGGCGGGCGTCGGCGGCGGCGGCGGCAGCGCCTCTTGTAAATATATATCTATGGCAGATATCGAAGTGGAAAGAGGGTTGAAAAGAGCAGAAGAAGACAGGTTGCATTTTGGTATTGCGAACTTTTTAGGTGGTGGTGGTAGTTATGTTAGTAATAGTAATAAGAGGAGACGAAATCCGGATATAGAAAAGACTGACAATCGGAAATCCGAATGACGTGACATCTCTCTCTCACCCCTCGAATCGAAGGAAATACGTTGGTAAAAAAATGGAAAAGATAGATATGTTATGTATTTACCAACAATTTCCTATCCGTCTCCGAAGGAAGGAAAAAAAAGTGAAGGGAAAGGAAAAGTTGGAGTCTCGATACGTTCCGGCTTTAATCGACAAACAAATGGTTTGGATAGAAAAAAAAACTGGGATTTTCGTCGCGTCGAATTTAGAGGATGGATACAACTGTGTGTGTATGTGGTATAGGTGGCTTTGGTAATTGGAAGATGTCAGTCCTGTGCGGGGATAGTCAGACGGGACTAATCGATTTAGGATCCCAATTACCTGGCCCGTCAACTCGGACATAAAACCAACATCAAGTGGACGACGCTCGAGGAAAACGGCAGTAACAAAACTGTAGACGAGAGGAAAACAAAGCGAGAGAAAAAGAAGGAGGAGGCGCAGAGGAAATTGAATTGCAGCGCAATCATTACGGCGATAACGAGACTCCAGACGTTCGAGAAAAGAAAATGAGTAAATAATAGATGAAGGAGAAGTGGGTAAGCGAACTGTAAAGACTGGATATGCAAATGGGGGAAGTAAACAGTAGCAGTGTTTGCTTTTTCTCTCCGGTTTTCTTCTG